TGTCATTGGCCGACGAGCCGCGAGCAATCCCTATATGAAGGGCTGCCGTGGCTCCAAGATCTTGTACAGATCTTAACATAAAATAAAGAGCTTGAAGTGCACTGGTCTCGTGTCTCTTTTGTACCTGATCTAACAGTCACCATTCAAGAGCTGCATGAATACAGAGAACAGCAGACTGATAAACTGCCCAGGTAAAATCTACTTGCTTAGTATTTACTGGCTATGACAAGGGGCTAAGCAGAGCCTGGAAATTGCCATCCTACCATGAATATACCTAGTTAGTCATCAGAAGAAAGGATGAAATTTAAAATGAGCCATTGGTCTGATCTATTGCAGAAACCCCCAAAACTCAGCAGATACATTTTTATTTGTTTCCAACTTTGTATGGCATCCTTTTTATTATGCAAATAAAATTCTCAGTTGTGTTTGAGTGGTTTTTTTTTTAAGAATGGAACAGAATGAACTGCTTAGAAGAAGGAGAGAGTCAGAAAGATAATTTCCTCAGCAAGTCATCGTCACTAATGAAGTTTTACAAAAACAGATACAACCAAGGAAAAATAAAATTTCACAGGTGATAAATTTTTCCAATTTCCAAGGCAGAATTCGATAGGATTGTTAAATTAAGAGTGAAGGTGTCTGTTAGGAAGCAACGAACAATGATGGGTAATTTTATAGAGTGGAAAATTGAATCAAATTGCAACATTAAAACACAGCTCCTTGGAGGATCTGCCCCAAATGCAGGCCTACTTCAGTATATTTAGTTGGCGACTTGGGGGAAGGGATATACTGTATGAATGGAAGGACTGTGCAGTTGTAAACAGCATGAAGATGTGGCTTCAAAATGTCTTTAGAATGTCCAAGTTGAAAAGAGGGTGGATAGGTTACGAAAGAAAGTGCGTTGAGGAGAGGGATAAGAAATCTTCTTCAATCAGATCATGGGAGGGATTTAATTTGCCACAACTACCAGACTTTCTTTAAACCTAAATCTGAGCTGGCATGTATGAGAGATTAACAAACTGAGTGCTTCTGAGCATCTTTAGAGTATTTTATTTTTAAAGTTTTGCTAGGTTATCTCTTGTCCCAGTAAATAAAGTAATTTGATTGTGAAATAAAGATTGGTGTGAAATGTTACTATCCACAGCTTTATCCTCCACATGCATATATTGCTGATGTGAAACTCCATGCACGTGCTTGACAATCAGATAGTTGAGTGCTTTACACCATGCTATTCTTGAAGAGATGTCAGGTTTGCTACTACTTATTAATTCTAGGGTACAACTGTTAGAAAGATAGGTTTACGGGCATTGAATTATTAAATATTGATGTGTCAGTTAGATTGCTGACCTCAGAAAGTATAGTATTTTCCCTGTAAAAAAAAGCAGGGAAAGAAGTGTCTATGCTTTTATTTATCAAATCTCACTGAGGTCATTCCTGAATTTAAAATAGCTAGTATTTCCATAGAATGAACAGAAAATTTCAAACTGAGGACTCTAACTAAGGAAGTAAATAAATAAACTGTTGAATAGTAATTTTTCTCTTATAAGAATGAACCAAGAATAAGGTAAGAATAGAAAATGATGTTCACAATAATTTTTCTATTTCCAAAGGTGGTTCATGACTTAAAGACTCAAATACAGGATGGAAGTAACCAATTTCCCCCCCAGAATCTTTCTTCTGAAGCTTGCATCAGATGGTAAAGTAATATCCTGGAAAAAAATGTTTTTTCTGTGTTGCAATTATTAAAAAAAGATTCTGGCAAAGATACTGTAAAGCGTGTGGCCCTTCTTTTAACATAGTTTGATATATAGATATTAATATTTATGCAGAATTGGAAAATCCTAACCTATGAAGTGTAGAATATCTAAAGGACAAAAGTCCATTATCCTTCTCTATTAATTATCTTTTGCACTGGGAAAGAATTCTCTTTGAAAGATTTTCTAAAGCTTTTTCTAACTTGTCTTCTTTAGATGTTGATAGCACTTAGAATCTCTCTCTCTTTCTTTCTTTTTCTAGTTATGGCCTCGGGGAGAGGGAGAAAATCCTCTGAGAAACATGAGTCATTGAAAAGGAGCTAGATGAAGAAGATAATGATCTATTACTTTTACATAAATCAGTATTCAGAAAAGCTTGGTTCTTTTCCATCTCCCCATTCTCTGGTATTCAATTCAAAGATGCAGTACTCTTGTGAACTTTGTGGCAGTGACTCTGCATCATGTCTGAAGGATTGGGAATGACAGAAAGGAATGCTGCCAAGGCCTGAAAGCTAGTCCCTGGGTCTCAGAAATGAGGTTGCCAGATTCTCTATCCTTATCGAATTGCTATTGTTGCCCAAAATATTTGTCTGAGGAGGCCATGGAGTTTGGCAATGTGTGGCTTGGGTTTCTCTTTTGCAGTATGTGCAGTGATTTGTATACCAGATACTTCAGACTTTGCAAAGAGTTGGTAGGTACAAGGAGTCTGGATCCATTACAGCCCTAACAAAATATTATTTTTCTCATATGGTTGCTGTCTTTCTTATTTTCTTTTATTTCAATAAATACCTTTACAAAGAAGAAGTTATAACCCCCAAGGAGCTTCAAAATAGACTTTCCATATTGATCCTGGAGTCCTCATTTAGGAAGAGCAGGGGTATTTCATAAATGAAGAGCATGTCTAGATCCTTTTGTGTGGCTGTGTTACACGCACAAAAAAAGATATGAGCATGTGAACTTTGTGGCAGTGACTCTGCATCATGTCTGAAGGATTGGGAATGACAGAAAGGAATGCTGCCAAGGCCTGAAAGCTAGTCCTATTGTCTCAGGTTGGTCCCCTCATTTTAACAGTGAGAAAAATGAATGAACATTCCTATGAATTTGGTTGTGTGCTGATTAGCATGAATAAACCTATCATTATGATTTCACCTTATAGCCTAATGAGTAATCAGGGAATTGATGAAGTAGCTTCAATGACAGGGAATGTTTTCCTTAACGACCTAGAAATCTCTCTCTCTTGTGTTTGAAATGTAACAGCAATCAGAAGTAGCAGAAGGGGCAGAAGAATTATTTATAACAGATTTTGAGACAAAAGAGGCAAAAAGCTCTCTTATTTAATTGATGTATGATCAATTGTTTTGTTGCCTAATTTAACGATCTATTATTTCAAATAAGTTCTGCTCCCACAATGTAAAAACAAAGATTGTAAAGGTAACTTTCTTCCTTTTAAGAAAATTAACTCCTGTATTATTCTTCAGATTTTTAGTGCCTTGGTTTCAGAATTGCCTTTGCTTATAAAGACATTACTCATTTGTACATATATATCTATGTCTCTATGTGTTGCTTACCCCAAGAGTTCCATTTATTTGTTGAGTCTACCAGATATTGATACAAATAAACTTCACAGAATTCAGTATCTCATGAATCTCGGTTTTTAAAATCCCTAATCTGAAACCTTTTTTTTTTTTTTACAATAAAATGATATTGAATTTGTGTGAGGACAAAGTATGTCTTCCCCTCTGGAGCAACACAGTCTTTCCAGAGGCCTTCCAAAGAACAGTTAAGCCTTAGTATTAATATTTTGGCACTGGGGCCATATGAACTCCATCCTGCCAATCATATGACATCAACACTGGGAATTTAAGAACATGACCTATCCTTGTAACAACATTTCTTTTTTATTCTTGAACAGAGACATGCTCTTTCAGCCCTGAAAGTGCAGCTTCAGAAACAGTAACATATGGCTTCATGTTTCTCCTCCCATTGGCATAGATACTTATCACATTAATTTCTACCTTTTGGACTCCCATCTTAGCAACACATTGGCAAAATTAGGAGAAAATACCAAATGGAGAAGTAGTGGTATAGCAAATGTCAGTGGAGATACTCAGTTTCCACAGATTGAGAACGTCCACTTTTTGGATAAAGATAACCATTGGCTTGAAAGAAGGGTAAAAAAGGCCATTTACGTTAACACTGAGCAGTTCTCTCTCAAAAGAGAGGAAGAATAAGACACCACCTATCTCCTGTCTACAATGCAGTCCTTTCACAACAGTTTTAAGAAGTTTCAAACCACATTTGCACTCTGATATGTGTGACCCTGAGAGCACAGATAAACCCAAGTGGCTTAAAGAGCTCTCAGAGAGAGTGCTAATGACCAGATGACTGCAAAAAAAAATATGATCCTTCCAAACCCGCCCTCCCCCTCCCCTTATCCTGTCAGAACTAATCTTTCCATCATCTGTATCATCCTGCCAGAACCAATGAAGCTTCTTGAATGAGAAGCAAAACATCTTCTCAACCCCCCACCCCCGCAGTATAGCTGCCTTTTGAAAAAGCATCCTTGAGACATAGCAATAGTACATGTTGGGTTTTGAAAGACAGTAGAGATTTGCTATCCCGATGGGAGAGCATTGGAGGGTTTTCAGTGTAATTATTTATATTTGTAAGCCCTTACATTTCTGCATTGAAAAATATTTCCTCTATTTACCTATGGTATGTTTTTACAAAGCAATGGATAAACATTCATAGATTATATCTGCAGAAATACATGAACATCAGGAGAGGGAACATTTTAACAATTTACTTTTTATTTTAATAAACACAGGGAGAGGATGCTTGTTTTTGGAATGAATTGTGTGGAACTTGAGATTGGGATGATCTTGATACTTGATCTGCAAATAGTCAAAACAATTTTAGATGTATTTTTCAAATGGGAGACTGAAAGCTTGTTTCATAGAATTCTCCTGATTATACTTAAGAGGTTTGTAAGGGGAGCGCATAAATGCATAATTGTGCCTACCATCCCAGTCCTATTGTCCCCATTTATTTGTACCTATTTCCTGTATTCTTACTCATGTTTATACTTATAACTATTATCTTGTAAGCGATTGACAAATCAAATAAATAAATAAGCAAACAAATAAACAAATAAATGATTATACTTCTGTTTTCATGCTGTATTCTGAAAATAACATAAAACTGAAAGGATCAACTAAAACTTCAGTATTCCTAACTCAAATGGCTCACCTGGAAGAACTTCATAAATGCCCTCTTTGCCTTGCGCCATGGTCTCCTCTTTATCCAGATCTAAACTGGAATCCTGATTAAATGTTACACTTGGGATATCAAAACTCTCTATGTCATCATAGGCCTCTTCTTTGTCAGTATTATGGTAGTCCTTTTCGTTCTCTTCTTCTTCCTCCTCTTCTTCTTCCTCCTCCTCTTCTTCCTCACAGGGGATTATGAAGGAGTTCATATCTGAAAGATAAAAAAGAAAAAGAAAAACAATGGAGAGGGGGGAAGGGAGAACGGAAAGAGAGAGAAAGAGAGAGGGGGTGGATGGAGAGGGAGGGAGGGAGAGAGACCTAAGAATCTACCATGTGCCTGGCAGATTCAACAACATTACTACTTGTTTGCTAAAAATAAGAGTAGCAATGCTCCTCTGGAATTTCATCAGGTGGTCAAATCCATGCACAATCATAAAGAAATACGAAAGGTATAGCTTTCCCTGTATAACAATCAAAACAAATGTTCTGAAAGAAAGTAACTTAACTCTAACAGCCTAATAGACCACATTCTGTTGAGATCCTTAGTCCCATTACAGTATTGCAAATTCATGACAACACATACAACTTTAAAAATGTAATAAAACAACCTCTGCTATGCATATAGTACACATACACACAATCAGTGGCGTGTTAAAACTGACTTGTTCTGGTTCATGAAATTTTCTGAATTTTGAAACACAATTGAAAGCAGAGCTCAACCATGATGCCCAGTGCACTGATTAGCTGGTTGGCAGTTTCTGATGTGACATAGTGCCAGCAGTGAAGCCAACATAATTATTTGTTATAAATTTATTAACATAGCATGAAATGTTAACATGCCATCTTCTATTTTATTTATACATTTGTGGGTTGAAACTAGAACTAACTATGCAATTCATAGTTATGGAATTCCATAACAGATAAGATAGTCTTAAGTATTAATGCAGATACACTTTGAATCTGTATTCTCACAGGCAGGGTATTATTCTCATTGTTGAGGAGGATATTATTCAGAGTATCTATAAACATAACTAACAACCTATAAATCAAATTTGGTCCCCTTATCAATGAATTTTTAGAGTGAATAATGTAGGTTAGTAACAAAAACAACAAAGCAATAATACATTTTATTTTCTATCATAGCACCTTAAATAGCATTCACATTACGGGCTTTGCATCCTGACCAGCAGAGGACGCTTTGGGAGCATGCATTGTTTATAACAGAAAATGTCTTCATCAATGTGGAAATGTGATTTTAGGTTTTGATTAATCCATTCCACACACTAAATTTTACTATTATCAGGTTGATTTATATGCCTAAAAGGTATCCAGGAAATGGGGACCGGGGGATAAACCCTGGAGAAAGTACAAAATAAAATAAAACAAAAGAAGACAGGAGAAAATGTCATGTTTTGGATTTCTAGTAGATTTGTCTTGGTTCAGATGACAAGATCATAGATCTGTGATTTTTAATCAGTCTAAAAAAACAACTAAATATGTAACATGTATGAATATTGAAGTGCATTAAGGCTCATATGCACTTCCTTTAAACAAGGAAAATGTGGGATTAAACTATTATCAAAATGTGCTAAGAGAATGCTAGCTTGTACATCATGATTTGGATATGAGGGTGTGCTTTTAGAAGCTCACTGCTTTTCTACCATAGCTATCCTTGCCTGTGCTTTAAAAAAGCCTCTTCTTAGTTATGCATTTTTTAAATCTCTCTCTCTCTCTCTCTCTCTCTCTCTCTCTCTCTATTTTTTTAACAAAATCTAAATTGTCCTAAACTCATTTTGTCTGCAGCTTTCACACATCTACTGGTTTTCTTTTATTTTAAGTATGTTTATTAAGGTACTATCATATTAAGGCTATGTAACAACCTGCTGCAAGTTCAATAACTATCAAACATTGCCATTTAAGTGGTGAAGTAAGGGAAAGTTCAAATTATCCTCATGTGCACTACAAGAATAAAGAGGTCAGAAGACTAGGAGTGCATCAATTTATTAACCACCAAATTCTTCCATGTAATGGGAAACTCTAATTGAGCCATACTAAGAAGAGCCCCAGAGCAACCTGTATAACTCACAATAATGGGTGAACGTGGGGAGGATACTGTGTGTATGTGGGAATAATGTAGTGGATTTTATCCAAAAACACTTGATTGAAATCTGTTCATCATTAAACTTCTTACATAATTTTGGGTCAATCATGATTTCTCTACTTAGGTTATGTATTTTTGTGAGGATAAATGGGATTACTTTTGATGTTAGTCTTTAATTGACAAAAGCCTTAAAGTTAATAAGGAAACTTTTAGAACAAAGTCAGCCAATTTGGAGGTTTTGATTAAAATTGTCTAATTACATTTCTGTGATTTTCAGACAAGCTTATCACTGTATTTTTATGATTTTTCTGAATGAGTTCAAGATATCTATTGAAAAATAGATGCATAAGCTAAGATTCTTAGAAGTGTAGCAGACATTTTTGTATGATGATAAGAAATCTATTTTAAACACAGACACATAGCCTAGGTTTTTAGGAATTTAAGAAGAGCTCACTGATCACACAATTCTACCCAAACAAGGAGGACTATTTCTGGCATGATCATCTAATGCAGATTCAAGCTGTAAATGAAAAGGAAGATATCAAATGCTCAACCTAGTTTTAGAAAAGGCCAAGGAACAAGAACCATTATTGCTAATTGCTCAACTGAGAAAGCCAAAGAATACAAAAGAGTTAGCATGTACTTCGATGATTACAGAAAGGCCTGGAATATGTTTTAAAATATCATTGTCTTCATTGCAGAAAGATTGGCTTTAGGTAAAAAAAAAGTGAGTGAAGGCTGTAAAAATAAGTGAGTGAAGGCTGTATTCTCCATTCATTCAATGTGTATGCTAAATGTATGTTGAAAGAAAATAAACTGGAAGAAGATGAATATGATTTTGAATTTGGAGCAAAAAAACACCAGTAAACGGCTCTGTGCTTATGAGACTACTCTAACAACTGAAAATGGAAATGATTTAGAAGTTCTAATAATAAAAGGAATACAGTAAAAAATGGGCTAAGATTAAATATAAAAAGACCATATTAATAACCATACTGATAACAATTATAATAACCATCCTTAAATAAACGGGGAGTAGCTTCTGCCTTTTAGGATCAAGCTATCAACAATAAATGAAGTAGCAACAATTCTATGAAGTTTGGGACCTTTTCTATCAATGGTTAGATAATAAAATATAATAATAGAATATTTAGAAACTTAGGAAATAATGAATATAAACTTCTTTTTCTTTGATAGTATCTTTATAAAATTTTATTACGATAGACTTGGTATGACTTTATGATTTGCTATAAAATAAATTAAGTAAACCATAGTTATCTCGTTAAAGTATGAATTAATAAAATTATAGTCGAATGATTGTTCAATAATGATATCAGGCTATATAATTGTTGATTGATAATATGAGCTATTTTGTAACACAACTAAAATGGAGACTATGAAATGGATGCACACAAAAAAGTGGTAAACCAACCGATACACTGTTTGTAAATTTATGAAGGATGATGATGCTTTTATGTTTTAGGTCTTGTGTTTTATGTGTTTTTGTTTGTTGTTAAAACAATAAAAAAAAATTCAAAAAAAAACAACAACAATAAATGAAGTAGCAGTGAAGAAATATATCACGGGCTAGCAGTTGATAGGGTAAGGACCTTGGAATGAGTGTCCTATTGGATGACCTGAACAGGCCAGGTTAGGGACAAATTGTCCTGGAGAAGATCCGTGTATGTGGTTTCTAAGAATAAAGCTATGAAATGAAAATAGATAAAGTCTAGATTACAGATTGATCTTCTATTGCAATAGGTCAAATTCTTCCTGGGATTGAATTCCTGGACAAATTTAAGGAAAGAGGGGGCAGGAGCTTAGCTCTCTTAGCCACCATGTGGTAAGTAGGATGCAACAGAGATAATGTGGAAATCAATTTAAAAAGAATATTTATAAGGAGATGGAATTGGGAAAAGCTCAGACTACTTATATCCACGCATTAAAAAACACACCCATCATATATCCTTTCCATTGACCCACTTTGTTGTAGAAGGTGACACTAGATATATTCAAAAGACCTTTTAAAACAGCAAAGGAAGTTGTTTTCAACATCTGAAAGCAAAATCCATATATATCTACATTTATAAAGAATATCTTGGCTGAGCAAGGCCATAAGTAAAGAGTTTGAGACTAGACCAACAGTTATCAAAACTCTCTGCAGATGCCCTCAATATTCAAGGTTAAGAAACAGGCAACAA